GCACAGCAGCACCAAAGCACAGCAGCAACATTGCAAGCAGCACTAGTGGCAGCAGCAACTGTTGCAAGTTGCAAGTTGCTGGCCATGGGCAACATGTTTATAGTCCCCCCCTTTAAAGTCGGCAACATTTTGCGGTTGTGTTATTTTCCTTTTGGCCAAAGCAACAATTACAATGGCCACAGAAGTGGAGAGGCTCAGCAAAAAAAAAAAAAAAAAAAAAGCCACAAACAACTATGCCACGTTGTTGCTGAATGAATGAATGAATGAATTACTTTTTTCCGTTCCGTTGTGGCAAAAGCAGCAACATCACAAGCAGCTGAGAGTGATTGTGGTCGGGTATGTGTGGATGACGATGGGGTTGGGGTTTTGAGGATGAGGATGTGGATGTGGATGTGGTTAGTGGATGTCCGTGTGCGTAGACGTTCATTAATTGTGACGATCAACAAGCTACGCAAAAATCAACCATCAGCGGCAGCAGCAACTTCCCCCTGTTGCTCGTCGCCTTGTCGATATTGCTGTTGCTGCTTCAGCTGCAATTGGCTGCCCCCCGAGAAACCAGTTTCCCAGCAAAATACTCTACACAATCCTTGACAACTGCCTTGAGTATTACAGACTTTAAAAGAGCTTTGGATATAATTAGATTTAATCCAAATATTTACCAATCGGAACTTGTAAAATAAAGGTTTCCAAAAAAAATATTAGGAGTAGGAAGTCTGAAGTCTGAAGAGTTATGTCTTGACAATAGGAGTTAATATATTTATAAATATTTCCAGTTAGAGTATTTAAACTTTCTCAACTCCCCTTCGTTGCTGACATTCTTATAATATTTCTGCTGTTGTCTGTTGGCTTTTGCCCGCTTCCTTTTGGTTTCTGCTGTTTTATGAATGAAAATGTTTTTTCTTTGCTTGTTTGCGGTTGGGGCATGCTTCCGTTAAGGCAATCCAGAAGAGGAGAAAAAAAAAATGGTAAAAAAAGCGAGCAAAAGTGGCACGGTCAGTCTGCGTGCTGCCCCTTGGCAATGCCCCTACTCTAGTCTCGCCTATGCAAAGTATTATTATATTTATTTTTCTTCTTCACTTTTTTTTTGAGGAGCCCGGCAGCACACAAATCTTTTCTACTTCCGGCTCTCTAAGAGCTCAGCTTGAGTTGAGTTGAATTTTCACTGGAATTCTGTGGGACGCGGAATCGGAAGATGGCGAGAGGAGAGGCAGCAGCTAGTGACCTAACAACTTCCGTGTTACTTCCGCTTCTTCGGCTCTTCCTCCACATCTTTCACATCCGTTTCTAACAATTTTAATTGAATTTTCGTGTAAACACACCGAGTTTTGAAGCCATCCCATCCATATTATCTTGACCGGGACTAAAACAGAGGCTGAGCCGGCATACTTCCGCTTGCTCTGGCCACATGACGACGCCAGATTGCATAATTCTCTAGTCAAAAAATTGAGAAACCCAGAAGAAGATCCCATGTTAAGAGAAAAAAAAAACAATGTGAAAAGGAAATGTATAGAAAAATCATTAACGCACAGACAAAAGATAACAGCGGGCCGAGGGATAGGGATAGGATATATATGGTGCCGAGCAGGGGCTACCTGATGGCCCAACACACTTGTGCCAGGCGGCAGGCTGCTGCCATACGTCTCGTCTAACGGTCGTCAGGGCAGGGAAAATCGGAAAAATCTCCGGTCTACTCCGGACGTTGATCGTCGTGTGTGCGTCAACGCCCTCATGGGAACCAATAACCAAGAGCTCAGGGGTTCGGGGTTCTTTAGAGGAACCAACTGTTGCTGCTGCACAGAGACGTCTTCTATTTGTTGGGTGAGGAAATTTATGTCATTGATTGTCCCTTGGTTAGGCAGTTATTGATAGCACCAGATGAGCGAGGCAGGTGAAGCTGAAAATCTTAATTGTTTCCTGTGCTTTTTGCCAAAAATCTACAAGTCATTGTTGGGTTTTGGGGATTGCTCAAGATAAATCCGATTAAACTTTGAAAATTTAACAATTTGAACCAGGCCAAGTATTAATATAATTGTAATCAATAGGTATTTTGTTTAAATATCGTCCTATATAATCTCTCCTCTTTTAAGCTATAATTTAAGCTAGAAATTGCTATTGAATCTCTCTTTTATATAGGCCCCACTGTCTGCAATTCAAGACACCTCACTTCCGTTGCGTGGAGTGGCATTCCCGGCATTCAGGCAGCCACATGAGGCATGACAGCTATGAGGGGGCACTACACAGTACACGAGAATCTACCAGTGAGGTTTCTACAAGAATGCCATTGAGAGGGAGTTCCCCTGCTCCACTCCTCCCGTCTATATTTCTGGGGGGGTTGTGTGTGCGGGGTTAATTTGATTCAATTAAAGAGATGCTATGGGAGAAGCGGCTTTCCATTGAAATCAAAAGTCACAAAAGTTCGTCAACGCTTGCCGCCTCACGTTGCAGTGTCCAGATGGGTGTCATATAGGGGGGCTTTTCTGGGGTTTCCAACTCTTCAACGTTCATTGTCTTTGGCGCGTTCTCAACTTCCGTTGGCACTGCACTTTGACACATGAGGCTAATTGTTTGACTCTTTTGGGGAGAGGGACACGGACACGCGTGCTGTTGATGGAGATCGGAGCAAATTATAAAGTGTGGCAGCAGCAGCAGCAGCAGCTTTGCCCGGTCCCCGCCCCTTTTCTTTGGGGAGCTGTTAAACCGGAAATCCGGTTGCCTCCTCTTTCCTCTCTCCTCTCTTCACTGTTTGTTTTTTCAGTGTTTTTGTGTCGCTTTTTTTCTTTTCTTGTTGTTTTCTTGTCGTGTGTTGGCCCGGCAAAACTTTTACTACTCTTCCAGCTTCTTGGCCGCGAAAGAAACTTTCGTGTTGTTTATAAGTTGATTCTACGCAGTGCACTTGGAGAAAAGAAGGTTCTAAACAGAAAACAGATAATTTTTATAAATTACGTTTAAATTTGTGAAAAGGATTTCATAGAAACCTTAAAAGACTAGCTACAAGTTTGGCTTTAGTTTACCATAGGTGTAAATATTTTAAGAAATTAAAGTATTTTTAGTGTATATTTTGCCATCTAATTTGTCCAAATTCATTTAGAAATATCCCATAATCGACTCAAAATTTCTCTCCGTGATTCTATTGTGAGCGGAACAAAGATGAGCTGATGCCATTGGAATGTCGTTGAAGCATGTCTTCTTTTTTGATATTTGCTGCCCCTTCTGCCCTATGATTTGCTTATCAATATGTAAAATTTTTTTATACGAATAACGGTAATGTCTTTGAAGTGCCATTTCCCGACACAACACACACAAAAAACCGAAACTAAAAAACACTCCAAGAGAGACAAGGAGAGAGAAAAAAACATACAAAAAACTGGCAGCAAGCAAACTGAAGAAGGGGAAGAAATCTCAATAAACATGCTCGAATTTCAAAGAATTTCTCACGCTGCTTACTCAATGTGCCCCCTTAAGCACTTCGTGCATATCCTGCCATATCCTGGGGTGGACTGACAATGGTTCCAGAATCGGGCTGCCCCCCGAAAATCGAAAAGAATCTCAGCAATGCTCGAGGCTCGCTCCTCCTTCATGAAATGTGAATAATCAAAGTGAAAACAAATCTGCTCAACGAAAAAGGGTTAAGGACTTTGGCGGCCATATCCTCGAGCAGGTGCAACTGCCAACGAAACTAGGTCAAAAATGTGTGAGAGACAGAGAGTGTGTGAAACGTGGGGGAAATTCCGAAAAAGGAAGTTCCGGAAGGAAGCCGCAGCATTCTAAAAAAAAAATAAATCAGGAAGTAAATAAAACTAATAAAGGGGATAAGGAAGGCAGGCAGACAACTTCCGGAAGAGACAGAATGAGGTGGAGAATTGTCATAGAGAAGGCTGTGTGTTCAATTGAGCAAAAAGGTAAAAGGTCAGAGGACAACCTGTTCCGGATTCACTTCCGGCCTCGGGTTTCCCCTCTCTCTCTCACACACCTAACAGCTAATCCCTTTTTCCATATATGTGTGTGTGTGCACTCACTTCTTTACTTCCGTCAGTCGCACTAAATCACTTCCGGACTTCCGGTATGCAGCCATCTTCCTTCTCTGTCTCTCAGACTAAACCGAAAAGGATCCCCCCTGGAATGACCCTTAGCAGCTCAGGTAGCAGCAGGTGCAAGCCACAAGAGAAACAGAAAATACCCAAAAATAATTTGAATAAAAATCAAGAAAAAACATAAAGGCAGGGGGAGAATGGAGAGAGAAATGAAATTGAAACCAAACAAAAGGCAAAAAATAAAAAAGAGAAGAAAACCCTCGAGAAAAAGGGATCAAAAACCGAGAAGGAACAAGGTGCGCGACAGTTCCACTTAAAAAATTGATTGCTTTCGATAATTTCATTGGAAACCTGTTGTTATAGTTGTTGTTGTCGCCATCGAGAGTCACTAACAATAAAATCGTATGATAGAAGGAACATCATCAGCAGCCCCTGGAGTGGCATCCTCGAAAAGCACATACACAGACACTCCAACAGACAGTTGCTAGTTGTTGGTTTTTATGTTACGGCCAGGACGACGAAAAACAGGACACAATACATAAGTTTTTATTGGGCCTCGAAGCCAAACAAAAACACAGAGGAGAACTTTTGGGACTCTGTTTAGAGAATTCAATTAATGGACAGTATTTGTTGGAGAACAAACAAACCAGAGAGATATCCTCCATCTCGAGTTGGTTTTGGGTAGTAGTTATGTTAATCAAGTTGGCAAGATTGTGTTGACACAAGCGGACTATTATTGAAGGGTTCCCAGGCATTCAAAGCCTTGAAAGTTTGCCTTTATGGTATGTTTATCGTATGGAGATTCTAGCGAATAATCACTGGGATTTTGGGGAATTATGCAAATATATTTTTATGACTCGAAATGAAGTTCTAAGTATGTTCTAGGGTTACGATGAAAGACTTTAACACCTTTTCGTTATTTACTTTAAATTCCTTTAACTAACCCAACCTTTTTTCTTTCCCTTCCAGGACTCTGAGGATGATTTACCCATCTGTGCACCGAATGCCGTTTGCTCTAAGATAGATTTGTATGAAACACCTTGGATTGAGCGACAATGCCGTTGTCCCGAATCGAATCGGATGCCCAACAATGTGATCATCCATCATCATAGTCACAATCTAGGGGGATCGTTGGATACTTCAAAGTATAGAAACTACTATGAAAGGGAGAAGTTGCTGCAGCACAAGCGTATGCTGCTGGGCGAATTCCAGGACAAGAAGTTCGAAAGTTTGCACTTGAAAAAGCTAATGCAGAAGCTGGGCGCTGTCTATGAGGATGAACTGGATCAGTCACCAGACTACAATGATGCCCTACCCTACACGGAGTTGCAGGACAATGAGTTCCCGCGTGGATCGGCCCACATGAGGCACTCGGGTCATCGGGGCTCAAAGGAGTCGCCGGCCAGTTTTATTGGCGGCTGTCCTAGCAGTTTGGGCGTGGAAGATGGCCATACCATAGCGGATAAGACCAGGCACTACAAGATGTGCCAGCCAGTACACAAATTGCCAGTTTGCAAGTGAGTTTACAGAAATTAAAATTCATGTAAACATTATCTAACTTATATATTTTTTTTTATTTTACAGACACTTCCGTGACTACACCTGGACCTTGACAACAGCAGCCGAGTTGAATGTCACAGAGCAGATAGTGCACTGTCGTTGTCCTAGAAATTCGGTGACATATCTCACCAAAAGAGAGCCCGTAGGCGAGGGCAGTCCCGGCTATAGATACCTCTTTGCCTGCTCTCCTGTCACGGTAGGTCCTACAGAAAATATCCTTCTAAAAAAAATATAACTAAATTATTTTATAAACTTTTATTTACAGCGCCTTCGCTGTCAGCGGAAGCAACCCTGCAAGCTGTTCACGGTACGAAAGCGCCAGGAGTTCCTGGACGAGGTGAACATCAATGCCCTGTGCCAGTGTCCCAAAGGACACCGCTGTCCCAGCCATCACACGCAGTCGGGTGTGATAGCCGGCGAGAGTTTTCTGGAGGATAATATACAGACCTATTCCGGTTACTGCATGGCCAACGATTGAGCAGTTTAATTGGGATCATCATTCCACAAACACAAAAACAAAAAACCATTGTAAAGGAGGACAGATTTGAGCGGGGAGAGCAGCTATTATATAGATATATCGACTGAGCCAATTGAGTCTCGCCAAGTTACCAATTAATTAAAATGAGAAGAAAAAGATAACGGATAATCGAACAAATACAAATGCCTAGAACTTAAAATGCACAGATTCAGATGCGTGCGTTTTTTCATTGCTACCAAATTTTGGTCATAAAACGTATGATATAAATATTTAATTAGTTTTAAGAACCGATATATGTGCGCAGTTTGTTATACAAAATAATTTGTAATGAATATTTATGAAAAAACGAAACACAAGAGCAGAGCCAGAGCCCAGCAGCAGGGAGGTTCGCATATGTAATATAGCAACAAACTATACTCGTAATCTAACCCGCATAAATTGTATATATTTCTATATATGTGTATGTGTATGTATAACTAAAACAGTTTCAGTTTATAATTTAAACGGAAACGGAAATGACACGCAGCATATTTCAAAGAGCAGGACGACGACGACGATGATGATGATGATGATGATGTGCCAAACGCAAGAGGTGCAGTTAGTTATCGTAAGGATATAAGGATATACATATATGTCATTGAATAATTCATAGGGCAGTTCGAAACTGTGGCAACTCTGGCAGCTGTTTTAGTGCAATTTTTCTTGTATGGAATTTCCTTGAAATTTCCCTTTCAAGGAAATTGTAAATTAATCTAGAAATTGCGCAAAGGCTTTCCAAAAAAAAATAAAACCCCAAAAGAATCCTTTTATGCTACGCAAGTTAGTAAACACCCATGACTCCTCCTACTTTAACCCCTTAACCTAACCATATGTACATCGATTGAAGCTTCAGAAAATGTGGCAAACGAAACGAGCGATGTTTAAGTTTAAACACTTGTAAAAAGGCAACAAATAAATTTTAATTTATAAAAAAAATATGTTTTGAAATTTTATTTTTTACTAATTATTATTTTCTTTACTGATTTATTTAAAATTAACTTAATATTTGTCTGAGCTGCCCTTTTAAGTAGGCAATACAAATTAGGCTTTACGCACACAGACACGTCTTGGCTCTTATCTTAAGACTTTTTACCACATACTTCTAGGATCATATTTTATGCACAAATCATTGCCTACTTTTTGGCGAAATATAACAAAATTCTACATGTAACTTAATAAATTTCTTCAAAGTTAATATGTACATGGCATTTTACATGATTAAAAAATACACATAAATTAATAATAATTACCATAAAAAAATCATGCTAAAATAAAGCTATCAAACAACCATTTCCAAGTCATAAATCTAATTGCTAGCCTTAATAATAACTCCATTGTAAAATGTCTAGCCCATCTATTTAAGCAACGGCAAATCCTTAACGAAAACTTCTCAACCAACACGTCAGTCAGTCAGAGCAACGAAATGCAGCCAATTATAAAGCCATAAAATTACACTTCATGCTAATGGCAGACAATTATAGAACTTGGAAATTTGCTGCCTTGATTCTTGACCAAATGGCCAGATGCCTCGCATCAAAATTATTCAACCGAAGCGGAGCTAAGTCACACCGAAGAAGACGTCTAAACTCTCCTCCTCTGGCCAAAGCAAAAACAATTAGAAACTAAAGCAAAAGTAACCGTAGAAGCCGTTGAGTCAAAGCTTAAGCAGCTGAAAATGCAAATCATTGGACCAATGTTGATTAGAAAGCAGCTGCCGACGACCCGGCGGTTGTATAATTAAATAAATACCTCAAGAAGCTGGGGCCACAAATTCAATTACAGAAATTCCATAAAAAAAAATATGCCCAAGCAGAACAACAAAAAATTATCAAGAATTATGCTTATAAAAAGCATTACATTTTTTACCGAAAGAAAAAGAGGTGTAAAGTTATACAGTGCGAAAAGCCAAGAAGTAAAACATAAAAACGCGGTCACAAAAAAAAAAAAAAAGAGGAGTACTTTTTTACGGCATTAACCGGAAGATAAAAGCCGCAGCGTAAAAAAAAAAACAGTATAACCAAGAGCTCTAGGAGGGCTTAGCTTAGAATGCATAAAGCGGATTTATATTGGGCATAAGAGATCCTCAAAATCGTTTAGTGTGCCAACTAATTAGCCAAAGATCTTGGAAAAATGCTGCAGGCAGCCAAAAGCCAAAAGCTTCAGCTTGTAGCATCCACATGAAAACAGACAGAATGGGCACAGCCAGAAGACAGTTTATAGCATTTAGCCCCTTAACAAGACCCAGCGAAGAATGAACATACATAGACACTTTAGAAAAAACATTAATTAGAGTTTAAGGAGCTCGGTACATTTTTCATTAGTCGGGCTATGAAATTCACTCACTTTTAGCCCACAACACAGAACAGAAACCGACACCGCAGACACCGAAATTGCCATCAGTTAGCCACCAGAGTCAAGAAAATAATTCATTGTCGCCCATTCCATTTCTCGGCGTTGTCCTCAATCTCGATCTCTCGAGGTAGACAATTTTCACATCAACATGGGATTCTTGTCCCCAGAAGCTACTCTTCTTTTTTTTTTTTTGGCCCAGTAAAAGTCGCAACTGGCAATTGGATAAAGGAAAGTTTATATATGGGAGAAGTACTATTTAAGGAAAAGGTTATGAAATCTATATTAATATTATCTCGATTATATTTTCACGCTTAATACTATTCTATCCTATCTATTCTATACTATCCTTCCATCCATACAAAATCAGGCTTTAATCGCAGTAAATCGTAAGGCGCCAATTCCACTATTTATAGCATATATTTCCAAGACATTCCAAGATTGATTATTATTTTGGCGAAAGTCAATTTTCATCGCCCATCGAAACGCAGCGGGGCAATATGACTTTGACTTTGGCTACTGTTGCACACAGATGCCGTCGATAACTAATTATTTCCACTCATCTTTCAGCAGCAAAAAAGCAGCTGAGAGCTGCTAAGGTGTCTGCATTTTCAATATTTATGAGCCATCATCGTCGATGACTCCCCCCAGTCACAGTCTCAATCCCAGTTCCAATCCCGAGCCACTGACCAGATCCAAGCTGAGCTCAGGCCAAAGCATATACATATATTGATTGATTGGCTTTGATTATTGGCCGGACAGCCGATGGCTGAAATTTGCATGCCAAAAGCGACACAGAGAGGGAGATATTGGTTGCAGGGCTTTGGGTTCCAGTTCGAGTTATTGGATGCCAGATTTATATGCATCATTAGAAAAATGCCAACGGATAGCTTCTTCTTTTTTTATCTTTCACTGTTTGTAACTTTCTTTCGCATCATTAAAGTTAAAAACAACAAATTAGCCGCAAAACAAAAGCAAAGGCAAGAACTGTCCACAAAATAACCAAAACCCCGAAAAACAAAGTTGCATGTCTTGAAGCAAAGTCATATTTATGCACTGAAGAAACTGGGTAATAAGAATATTATAAAACATATTTACAGGAATTTCAACAAGTTTTGGTTAAAGATTAAAAGGTTTTAATGGAAATTCCTTAAGCTAAAAATTTTAAATACCAGATCATACCTCTAAAATCGTAAAAAAAATTCAATTCAGTCTTCATAAAACTTAAGAAAAATATATTTTTCGGCTTGAATATAATTGAATTATAAGTGAAATATAGATTATATTATAGATTATAATCAAAATATTTAAGAACTCTGACATATTCAAGATAAACTCCAAAATAAATATGGAATCTTTACATGGAATTCTTTACATTTCTTCGTTTTATATTTATTCTACAAAATTCTAAAGCTCTTTCTAGATTCTCACAGTGCAGGGGGGAAATTAGTTTCGTGTCCGAAAAATTTCTTCATTTGCGGGTCACTAATTAGACGCGATTTGTGAGCCCGACCTGACATGCAATCTCCCCCAAGTGAAAAAGGGGCCGACTGGGGCGGTAGAGCACCGAAGAGGGGCCGCCTTTAAATGGCCAACATCTGCATAATTATGCGTTGTTGGTGGAAGGTGCTTATGCAGCTCAATGAATTTAATTGAGCAACATTAAGCTCTGAATGGCAGGGCAGTGGTCTCTCTCCCTCTTGTTTCTTATCAATTTGGCCTGGGAGAAATGGGAAACAGAAGAAGCAGCCTCTCTCGCGGTTCACTCAAATATAATTATTCTTAATATATATCTTTTACCCTCGATGGGTACTTTTTTTTCCGGCTCTTTTCACCGTTTTTCTCCCTGGGCCAACACAGGAAGCTCCAAAGATTTCACCTGTTGTTGTTGGCTTAGAAAGCGAAATTCGTGGGTTCAGTTTATACACATATTTAACTTTATTTGTATTTGATTGCCTCTGTGTGAGACAATTTAAACGGAATAAGCCATTAATCAGTGCAATTAGTATAACAATTGCTTATTGATATCATCCGATGGATGTGGATTTTTGGCAAGACAAATTTCCCAGATCTTAATGGCATTTTAATGGGAGCAGCGATCAGACATATGAGATGCCTCTATGGCAGGGTGAAAGTTTATCGATTTATTTTTTGGGAAGCTGCTGGCCGAGGAAAACTTGTGATATGCAAAAAAAAAAAAACCAACCGATTGAGGCAAAACACTCTTTTTTAATGGCGAATCCAGACAATGCCATAAACTGCAACAATAAAGCAATAACAGTAACAATAACAATAATTGTAATAGCCAAAGTGCAATGCCAAGTCATCGTGATGCTGCACAGTGGGGCAATTATGATGGGATGTTTGCCCAAAACTTTAACAAGTGTAGGAATAATCTATATTTACATTTTGCATAAGTGTTTGAGGTTTTTTAGTGGCTCATTTAATTGTAAAATGAATTAAAATAAATAAAATGCTAATAGAAAATAACTAAATTCGCTTAAAAATATATTTAAGCTCTTCCCGATTTTCTCTGCTGCTAATTTAATATGAAAACTTTCTCTTTTGACCCAAAATGTAATAACATTTAAAAGAAAAATAAATTCTAAGGTAAGAAATCCTTACAAGAACTTGCAATCCTGGTCACCACAGTGCCACGCAGAGGTGCGGCTGCAAAACGAAAGCCGAAAGATACAAAGATACAAGATGCAAGATACAAAATCATGCATCACAATGGGCAGAGGCACATGCATTGAAATTGAAAGTAACACACGACTGTGCACTGCAACTTGATGATTTTCTAATTACACAAAAGCCAACAGCCAAGAGCCAGAGATGACTCAAGTGGCCGATGCTCAACGACGCTGAACATTTTCCCGAAAGGTGTTAAGTATGCAAATGACGAGCAGCAAACAGTCATGTTGTAATATTTACAGCCAAGCACATGATCTCTGTGTGGGCGGGGCGGCGACCATTCTGCCCGAAAAAGCGACTGGTAAAAGTCGGCAGAGATTTTCAGTTTTTCTTCTGCCTGTGACCCCACAGCCCCACAGAGTCAGGCAGTAGGAGATTCGCATCTTTCAGATACTTTTACATGTACTTTCTCTACTTAGAGTTTGGCTGGCATCGCACAATTTTTTTTTTTGCCTGCCTTTTAGGCCGCGCCTAATCGAAATTTGTGCGAAGACTGGGAGGCTGGCAGCCCGGAGACTGGCGGCTGGAGGTGGATCCGGAGGAGACCCCAAGATCAGCGAAGATCGGAGGCAGCGACAACGCTTTGATGTTGTAATTAACTTTCATTAGACTAACCAAACACGTTGCCAACTCCGAGAAGCCCCAGCACAACCAAAAAAATTATCGCAAAAAGGTTGCCAAAGAAATCTCTTCAAATTTGGAACTTCCGTAAGCGAATCTCGCATTTAAGTCTCTTTAGTTGGTTTTTTTCTCGGCGCTTTTTTTCATTTATTTGGTTTTGTTTTTTGGCACTTCCAGGTATAAAGGGGCACAAACTAAATTTCACTTTCGCTACACAATATCAACAGCGATTTAAGTGTGTGCTATATTTAAGTATTTACTTGGCCAACAAAACAAAAAGTGAGCACAACAAAAGCCAAATAAACCTAAGATGGGAATACCCTGGAATAGCGGTTAAGGCTATAAAAGGGATATATATTTAAAGGTAAAAAAAAAAAAAAACAGGTTCGTTGTAATATCGAAAATATTGTACAGTTTGTTGTATTGGAAATTGTATAATAACGATGCAATCAACAAAACCGATCGATTGTATTTAAAAATAATTTTTAAAATTTCATATTTTATTTCTTTTAATTTAGTTACTAGTTGTTAGTCCATATAGGTCCTTAAGTTATAAGAAATTCATCCAAAATATCAACAGAAAATATATACAAAACGTAAGAAAATCGATTTATGCAGCGGAATCTCTATCAAAATCAATAAAGTTTGCTAGAACCAGTCATTTTTTTAAACAATTTTTTAATAAAACTGATTTTATCTTCAAAATCCCAACTTAAGTTTATATCACAGAATATTGCTAAGTCGAAATACTATCTCTCTTTCCCCGGTACAACTCCTATTTACTTTTCAACTATTTCTTTTGGTCATGCGAATACGTTTCCAAGGCGCGTTGATTGTTTTTCTGGCCCAAACCACCGCACCACCACCCCCACTGCTACCCTTTCCCAATGCAAACGAAAAACAGTGAATAGAAAGAAAAAAATACTTTGGCCAAAAAAAGACAAACGATCCATGGGAAAGCCGCAAAAACGGAGATTCAAGCATTCAAATGAGATGCGGAGAGACTTGAAGTATTTGCCTTGATTCCGCTCAATTGGCAATTTCGGAAAGAAAGTCCCCCTCATGCGCGTCCAAAACCAAATCCGCTGTCCAAGAATCCCGCAGAGCTGCAGTGTAGCCCCTCTTGGCCAACTACTTGACTACCCAAAGAGATCGTGTCCGAGTGGCCCGCTGAGTAATTAATGACACGAACCCCAAAAAAAAAATCTCTTCACCCACCAGGTCCTCTTCGTCTAATTAAATAAACAAAATGAGTGTTTGCGAAAATGCAAAAATACCTCTAGGAGATAAAACCCATAAGCTTTTTTATAATTATTAGAAAAAACTTTCCATTTTAGACAAAAGGGTTTAAAAAGGGAAATAAATAAAAAGATTAAATAAAATTAAATAGGAAAATAGTAAAGTTATTTTTTAAATAAAAATGAAATTGTAAAGAAAATATTTAAAATCAACTTAAAATGAAAAAAAAAAGCACAGTTCTTTCTAAGAGCAGACTGCATTTTCACTTTCCTTTTCAACAGGCAAAAACCCAGTTTGACTAGGAAAAAAAAATGGGTATGAAAAAATTGGTAAGAAAAAAATCACTTGAGGAAAAGCAAATTAATGAAAAAACCCATTGACAGCGGCGGCAACTGAAGATGAAAAAAAAAAAAAGAAAGAAGACCGAAGGCAGAAGGAAAAATATAATTTAGGTGCAAGAGAAAATTCAAGCGCATCATGTGAGGAAAGGTTGTTTTTTTTCACGACTCTTTCTACTCCATCACCATTGCATCCCATGGCTGGATGACAGAAATGATGATGAATACGCGTTGGCAGCCGGGGCCAATCCTCAATCCCCCACTCTCCCCCCTCTGGGGAGCTTCCCGCCTTCTGCAAGTGGATATGGCAACAAAGCCGCAGACATCATCAGCAGTTTTAACGGCTGCCAAAGTTGCCAACGCTTCCAACTTGCGGGTGTTGCGGGGGCTCTTGTTGTTGTTTATGCTGTCCCTTTGTTGTTGTTGAGGTCTGTCACACCATCGGGTGAGTGACAGACATGTGAGGAACTATCTACACTAAAAATATTTAACTAAGAACATTTTGAAATATTTCAAAATAATTTCGAGGGGAGTTTTCTGTCATAGTAAAAGTTGAACTTGTTTACAAAATAAATGTAAGAAAATTGGTTTTTCCAATTTGTTCAAAATATTTAAACAATATTTCCCTTAGTGTAAAGTTTCCTATTGGGTGGCATTGGTAGGCAGCTACCTTGCCATTGCACTTAATGAAGCCACTTCCAACCCAGAGCAGGTAAAAAAATACAATGCGCGAAAAATGTTTCAATAATTTAATGCAAATGCACAATAACAATTGCACTTTTTTCCCCCACCTTCGGCTGGTTCCCTCATAAATATAACAATTTTCAAAATACATTTTTAATGAACTCATAAAAATCATTAAGACTCCATGGCAACCACGATGTCGTCAATCCTTTGTCTTGGTCTCTGTGTGGTCTGGAGTATGGTGCTGGAATGTCATGGGAGATGGCGGATGTCAGATCTGTTTCCATTCGCTGACAGTTGCAACACCGTGGAATTAACCGAGATAGGATCGCAAAATTAACTTAAAAATGTGATTTGAAATGGGTGCTTGAACTCGAGTTGAGGTGGCGGAAAATTCATAAAGAAATTGGCAGAGATTTTAGGTTTCATATGAATTAAGTGGATAAAGTGAGGGTTTAAGATGAAGATTAATGATAAGTAATAAGGGATTTTAATGCTAATGAAGTAATTAAAAGAAATTAGTAGTAACATAATTTATAACAACTTTTTGTGAATAAATATTAATTTTATTAATAATTTAGCTAAGAATTTAAAGCCTTAGTTAAAAAATATTGATTGGAATTCAAATACCCTTATGCTAGGTATTTCTAGTAATCAGGTGGCTTTTCCAAAACCGGAAATCCCCCTCTAAATACCTTATTAACTCTTTTTAAAATAATCCCTCTATACCCTATTAATCTTCACCAATAATTCCCTGATGAATGTGAGAAAACAATCTGGGACTATGGTAATTCCAACACAAACCTTTCACCAGAATAGAAATTTATGCCAAGATACAAAAGACACCGATTACCATCATCCTTTTCTCGGTTTCAACAGAGAAGTTTAGGGAAATTAAATCAAAACATTTGGACAGCTTCCTTTAGCACATTTACAAATTAAAATTGGCAACCGCAAAGCTGGAAGGAGGAGAAGGAAAAACACAAAACAGCCACAAGAAACGGACATTTGAGGGGAAAAGAAAATTGAGGAAGAGGGACAAGATACAGCTTCAGCTGGCAAATTGAAGCTGAGTTTGAACTACGCAAACTGTCTTCAGAGGTTAGTGGTATCGAGGAGAAGGAGGGCAGCAGGGACAGGGGTAATTAAGAGCGTGGGACGCCATCAACGAGCTATGGAAAACCACGGAAAATATGCGCCCAACTCGGAAAATAGAAAACCGACAGGGACAGAAACATAAGAGAGGAAAAAGTAAAATCATGAAATATGATAAACATGCGAAACATTTTTACAAGCCAATTTCGTTATTTTTTCTTCTGCTTCTTCAGACTCTTCTCCAAAGATTGCTTTTATTATTTCTCTTTTCTGAAAATGGGGTCAGGAAAAACACTTTCATTGGGCTTGAAAAGACAGAAAGAGAGAGAGAGAGAGAGAGAGAGCTTCGGTTAGTTGGTAGAAACTTCTTTATAAAGCCATTTTGGCCATTGTTCGGTCTGAGAATGCAACGCACAAAACGAATGCTGAAATATGACATTGGAGATGGGGAATTGTATTAATTAATTTGCATATAAACCAGTCCAAGTCGAGGTCAGAAAAGCACTTGGAAAGCCTGGCTGGAGGTACACAGGGAAATAATAATTGAATTTTGAATTTGAGGCTAAAAAACTTGAGTGAAATCGAAGAAAACATTATAGAATGCTTAGATTTTCTTAAAATATATAAATTAATAATAATTTCAGGATCAAAATCTTGACTGAGACTCCTGATTTCTGAGAAAAACCATGAGTATTATAACAAAAAAAAGGTTGAAAAATATTTTCAATTGGTATTTACTTTGAAAAACATTTTAATTAAAATTTTTATTTAATAAAAAATACGGTCTATATATAAAGTTCTGGGTTTTTGCCTTAATAACAAAATTATCTACAACTCAAAAAACTAAAATAGCTTTTATCCATTTTTAATCATTTTAAACCAATAAATATACTCTGTAATTCATTTCTTGTTTGTTTTTTTTTAGTGTATAGATACAAAGACGATCTTCCACTCATAAGTTCTAGCTGCTCTGGACAGTTACAAAAAAAAAACCTAGGAACCCAATGAAAGAAATGCAAATGCGTCGACGCCATACAAAAGACTTATGGCCAGACAAAAGGCCGAGTTTTGTCCAGTTTGTTATCCAGTTTGTAGCCGGCGATGCTTCACCTCCTCAGTAGGTCATAACGTTTGACACCTTTTCGATATCTATGTATATATATAGTGGTCACTGGTCAGTGCAACTATCTTGGCTTCAAGAGCTCGATATTCAACTTTTAACCCAGAGAAAAGAGGTCAAAGTTTAAGCCTTTGGGTTGCCTTATAATATTTTTAAAAATTATTATTGTTACCCAAAGTAAACTTTACTGGTACTTCTATAGATAATCTTTAGTATTTTTAATATCCCCATAACATGGTTCTGCCCTTAAGAACTGTAATCTTAGCCAAGCTCCGCGAAAATGGGGGTCATCTAGCTCCCGGAAATTACCACTAAAAAGAGTACTCAGAAAAGGATTTACGACCATAAAAATATTACACAAGCACTTATGGACCCCGAAAATAACAGCCTTGGGCTCTACGGTTAGAGACAGTAAAACCTAAAAAAGAGAGCAACGGGCCGAGACCGAGAACAACTTCATTACGGCCTGACAATGATTAGAGAGAGCAGCGACAATTTGCGCGAGTTTATTGCGGTTTACGAGGAGTATTTCGGTCCCACAGACTCCCGCGCGAAGGTGATAACTTTCAACGGTTTCACGTTTGTAATTGTAATTGACTTTGTAGCTGCCTGATGCTGAAGCTGCTGCAGATGCAGCCAAAAGCTAAGACTGAGGCTGAGGCTAAGGCTAAAGATACAGCTATAGCTACAGCTACCAGTCTGTGGGAAATTAATGAATTAAGCGGCGGCGTACAAGAAACAAAAAATGGAAATAAGTAATGCTCACATTACATTAGGCAGTAAACACAGAAACAAAAAAGTTATGGTCTTGAAACTATTAAAATTTAAGGGAAATTCTACTCCAAACGTTACCCAAATATACGAAACTAATATTTCAAAGTAAGTAATTATTATATAAATATCTTCAAGACATTTGAAGTTTAATTATTTGTTCAGTTTTAGTTTTATATCCATTTCACCTTTAATATTTATTTTTTTAGTACAATTTTTCTCCCCCATTTTATTTTCAGTGCACTAGAAGATGCGACGATGCCAAGTGGCAATGGCAGAGTATCGCGACTTTAACTCATTTCCACGACACTCAAATGAGCAAAAATTATTGCGGTTAAGTACGCGAGCGAAAAGATTTTCCAACTTCAGTGCAACTGGCTGGCTAAATCGGAAAGTAAGCTAAGGAAAAGCCCCTCCTCCGCCGGCTTGTTAGAAGGAAAAGAAAACCAACCAGAGACAGACGACGACTCAGAGCCAGATAGAGATAGAAAATTGCAATCCATCGTCGAGGGAATTTTCTCTGTTCCTTTGTCGCCGCGTTCGATGGCAGCTCGAATCGTGAATTAAATTTAAACGGCAGAAAAATACAAAATAAATAAATGGGACAAGTGAGCGAGCGACTAGCGGCAAAGAGTGTGGAAATTATAGGGCCTCCTAAGCGGGAATCTTCTTCAACTTTCCGAGTTTGTCTTGTCATTGATACTAGGTATGTTACCATACAAATAGGGGGAGGAAATGATGAAAGAAAGTTGGCCCTGGAAAATCGATTGCATAAAGTTAATTAAGAGGGAAAATATATAAAAATTTAATAAATATATTAGCAGAAATAAAGATATATAAAATATTTGAAACTCTTTAAAAACACTTTATATTTAAACGAAGTATTTAGATTTTATTTTCAGATACTTGGTAGATCTTAGATAAAGATTTCTCAAGTACTCTGGTTAATACCCTCTCTCAATCCAAAATAATAACAAAAGTTCAATCTTTTCACTCACTACCCTGGCTCAGCATCTGTATTTGATTGAAAACAAATAGTTAGATGCACAGCTCGATAGATAGATATCTAGATAGATAGAGAAAAGGCAATACTGAGAGGCTGGCGACCAAATTGGCACATTAGACAAATTGTAGCCAGGACGGCGGAGAGTCTCCAAAGCCAAGAGGGGCCATGGCAAACATCTCAATAACAATATCAGTGGAAATAGTAGTACTATCATCAACGGCAGCAGCCGCAAAAAGCAAGTCAAGGAAAACTGCAAATGCAAAATGCAAGAAAAAAAGGAAAAATACCAATGCCAAAGCCAAATCAGAGGTGGCGTCAGAAGAAAGTTGAATGAAACTTGCCATCGATCGTCATAAATCAAGCCGCAGAAAAGCCGCAGAGATTCATCAGTCAATCAGCCGAGTGGATCGGCAGATGCGATCAAATGTCAGGCCCACACCTCGTGGCTTTCAACCTTATATCCAACCAGTCACCATTTAAGCCATCATTGACCCATATTTTCGAGTCGAGTCTATGGCTCCCGTCACCCCATCAGCTCATCACTGGGGAATAAGCCCCCATGGATCATGATGACAATCATGACGATGATGATAATAATGACGGGGATGATGCCTCCTCGACCATGTTCCGTAACGTGTTGCCATTTAATTGGCTTCGTGTGAAGTTCAAGAAAACTTTGCCAAATACCCCAGTATGGTGCCACATGTCATCCCTGCCTCGAACACTTCCCTTCTCAGTTTACTCTGCTCCAGACTTTGACACTTTAGACTGGCTTGTCAAGCAGAAAAAAAAAAGTTGGAAAATGAATCAAAAAATATTTCACAGAATTGCGTTGTCTTTTCTTTTTTCCTACCCAACAAGTCGAAGATCCTTAGTAATCCTAATTTCCCAGAGAACAGATTTGCAAAACACTTAGCTCAAGTAACAAGTGTAAGCGCGTTGTAAACTCTAAGATTCCCATGTTCAAAGACTTTGATGAGTTAGAGAATGACCAACGCCGCAAGGATCGCAACAAGCATTGCATCAGCTTTAAGCCGCTTCAATATCCGCAAAACAAAAAGGATATCAAACTGCGACTGGCTGATGTACGCCATTGGGACCAGGATGCCTGGAGGAAACAAACTGGGACTACAACAATGCCGTCTATGTGTTCCAGAAGGTCTTCGACCAGATACCGCCCGAGGCCTTTGTGAAGTAACTGCATTAAATGAAGGCAGAGTTACGGAATCAGAGAGAATAGAGAACCCAGAATGAGGTGAATAGAGAACAGAAGTCAGGTCACAGGATACAAGCCTCGTATCTTAATCGTAAACCTTTTGGAAGCAACAGTTTCTTATTATTGTAATAAATAAGAGCTTGTGTGAGAGCATAAGTAGGCCCAGTCCTGTGTAAAGGATAGGATTATTTATTTCTCTTTAAGTTCTGTCTAACCTCTTTAGTTCTACCGCCCACCGC